GCTAAAAATGGCCAGCCTGATCTAAGTTAGGTGTACTTTGGAGGTAGGGTTAACTTAGATTAGGTCAGCTATTTTTAGACAGCTGTAACTGTCCTGAACTTCTGTCCAATTTGAACTTAGATGGACCTAACTACGGATCTAAGTGTGAGGTCCACCCCTAGCTGTACTAAGTTAGATCAGGTGGTCATTTTTAATATGATCTAACCTCCCCCTAACCTTGCCAAACATCTGTATGCACCCTAACTCCTTTGCTGTGCTCTCCACAGACCATAGTTGGAGAAGAAGGCAAGCTGATTGCAAGGAAGTATAAGAATAAATTCTGAGGAATCAAAGGCTCTTGTGAAGCAAGCAAGGACATGGGTGTGTTAGTTATACACATCTTTGAAGCAATATAACTATGGAAGGCTTAAAGAGAAAGAAAAACTCATCAATATAATGTCAAATATTTGAAAATGACTTAGTCTCTAAGCATAAAAAGTGTGCAGTTTTAAGGCCTGATATACAACTAATGCTATATATAGCACTGCAAGTTGGATGTCTTTTATCCAATGCATAAAGTTCTTGTAGACACATATATTTAGTCATGACTTATGCAAAAGATTTTACAGGCCTATGACTGAATCTTGTCTGTCCTGAATCTAAGGTAGGCATAATTTTGTGGGATTCTGAGAAAATCCAAAATTTTCAGGGGCAGAAGGAGAAGGATCTCATTCCTAGACAGTAGATTAAGGCATAAATGGCAGGTGACAAAGTAAAACATGTATGATCTATTACATGGCTCTACAATTTTTCACCTGAACTGGATATCACCCCTGAATGCATATATGGTATGTGTGCATGTGTGTTGCTACTTTCATATGCCTGTATTTAAATACTGTTTACGCTCCTGTCTTGTGATGCAGTAATTTCCTTCTTTGCACATCAAGATGAGAACTAAGATTATCTTTCAGTAAATGAGGCCAACAAATATTTCTCATTATAGGGCAAAACTGTTTTGAACACAAAAAAATATATAAAATGAAGAAGCTGGTCTATTAGAATATGAAGAGAGAGCAGATGCACAGCAAAACACATAAAAATATGCAAAAATTAGAATTTAGAAGCTAGGATCCCTTCCCTTCCCCTTCCCTCTTCTCCCATTCCTATTTCCCTTTTCTGGATCAGAAATTCATGTCTGCAAGTTAATTAAATTGCTCATATAAACACAAAAGGATTTCATTTTTTAAAGACGTTTTTACTGAATACGTCCACAAGGTACTGTATAGCGTAGAGTGAGGTTTTGAAGTTAACAATGTGTGTAACATGGCAGGTTGCAGAAGATGGATGATGCAGGCTTCAAACCACTTGCATGCCCATGTTACAGATAAAATATACCAAGTACAAAGCAGAACCAAATTCGCATGTTTCATTTAAAAACAGTTTTATGATAATTATTTTTCAATTAATATACTTGATGCCACTATATTTGGGACCCAATAGCGGTAGTAATTTATTCAGTGCCTTGTCTCTTTCTGAAAGGATCAGAATTTAACTCCAAAGGGAATGTTTCCCTAGAATCCCCAATATGGTCAATACTTTTTTCATTCCCTTTGTGCTAATTTGCTGTGCTAACTAAAAGAGCTGTCTTACTGAAGGGCAGAGAGTACCATGTTTGTGCAAAAATGTCACCAATAAATGTTTTACAGGTATCCCCTACCATCCCCTGGGATCAAAACTAACCTCTCCTTGGGAAGATGTGAGCTTCAGTTTCCTAGAATTATTCTTTGTGTAAAAAGAGGATCAGACAGCACCCAATGCTAGTTACTTTAGTTTTTGGCGCTTGCTTCTGATTTGCTTTTCCATGTAGCTGGAAAGATAAGTCATGAGTAAAACTACTCTTCTCATATTCTAAAGTAAAACTTTAATGTCTCTTTGTTGTAAGTTAGAGCAAAGAAATGCTATAAACAAAGGATGCAATGGAAATTAACCACTTCACTGTCAAAAGCCTAAATTGACCCTGCTATTTAATGTCACTGATAAAGTGCCTTATATAGTCCCCTAAAGGTTACACAGACAACATACTGTAAATCAGGTTTCCTTATTTTCAGTATTACAAATAATTCTTTCCCCAGAGGGAGAAATGTTCTCACTCAAAAGAAAAGAGAAAATGTTTGAGGGAAAAATAATGAGCTATTTCAGTAGGAAATGGAACTATATCTTGAGCTACTTCATTGCCATATTTTATGTCAGATTTGCTTTTTTTTCTTTACTAGCCAATGGGAAAAACTCCTAATAGATTTTCAACCAAAAGGAAAAAAATCAAATATCCCTGCAAAGGAATCTGCTAACATCCTCTCCAATGCAAGCCCTATAACATAAAGATGTGTGTACCAGGTGTTTGTTTCTGCTAATAGGCTACAACATGCCATGAATCTTTGTTACATGGGGAATAGCAGAACCAATTTGCAAATCAAACAACTCTTCAGGAAAAAAAAGAGTAAAAATGGCATGTTTTCAAGGTATTTGGTTTACATACATTAATTTTAGCCTCCTAGGCCCTTTTTTAATTCCCCAGGGCAATTTCTTCCATACATTAATGTAAGGCAGTGTTGTTCAGCCTTTCAGCCCTGTGGCATGGATGATTGGTACAGCACCAGATCCCATGGCCGGAGTCAGTTTGCAGGCCAGATCTAGTACAGGGTTGGTACATGGGGTTGGCCTGTGGGTCTGTACACACTGGCCTGGCCTGCACACTGAATCCAGAGCATGGGGCCATGTCATTTAGCCCACAGGGCTTTCCACATGACTAGAAATCTGGTGGGAAAGAAGCAGTTACAATATTTATTGTCACAGTTTAATTAACACTGCCCACAGCTCCCTCACCACCAAACTTCAGGATGTGTAAGTTAGATGACATAGCTCTGTGTGCTGGATTCAACCTCCAGGCTGGAGATTGAGCACCACTGATGTTGCTTTATGGGTATATTATAAATTATGGCTAAATCCTATTCCAGCTAATCAGCACCTTAGCGGACTTGTGCAGTCAGATATGAACCTATTTTATGCTGTCTGATGTACTGAAAAACAGTAATAAAAAGGATCTTCCTCCAACTCTTTGCCTTTCATCACATAGTCCTCAAGCTGAGAGGGAGACATGTCACAAAAGTAGGCATGTTTTTTTCAGGGACTTGAGAAGGGTGGAATAGGATAATAGGATCTCACTTATGTACCTAAGTCAATGTAGGTACCTACTAGGTGGAACAGGATCAGTCACAATGGGTCATTTTCAGCAGCATGCAAGTCAGGAGCAAACAGATTTCAATGCTCATGTAAGATCCTGATTTGTGGAAATCAGGAGTTTCATGTATACATTTTCAGAGTCTCTAGATGAATTTTATGTGTAAACTTATGATACTTCTTCTTAGTGTGTGCTAGCTAATTTTCTGTTTCCAGAGCTTACACTAAATAAGACTACTCCATGCTATGCAGTTTTACTGTAGGCTTTTGTAGTATATTCTGCATTAGATGAAAACTAGTCATACCAAGTTAATATTAAGCTTCTAATAACAAAAGCATCTCTGTCAACATTTTTTAGCATAGGCTCTTTTTAGATGTTTTATAAGACTGAGACTTCAGCTAGTATCCATTCCTGCTCATTCAGATACATGCAGAAATTAAGCTTAAACTGTTTGAGTGATCATGGCAGCTTGTTTGAAACAACTCAAATTCTTTTGTAGGTTAAAGTGCATTAACTTGTTAGAAGGTGGCTAGCAGAGCTGGATAATATACTTTCAAAACACTGTCTGAATACTTGTGTGAACAAAACTATGACTTGTATAGACCAGTGGTTCTCAACTTCTATAGACTCAAGCACCCCTTTTTTTCCCCCTCTCCCCACCTCCCTAAAAAAAAAAAACAACAAAAAAAGAAGCTCTAAGCTTTCACTCATTTTTTTGATCCTGGAAAAATAATACAGCAATTCTTCTGTAGAAAAGAACTCGCAAAGACCAAAAAAGCTCAGAATGTTTGACACCATTAATGAAATCTCTGGCTCTTGTGTGGATGTTTGCTCACCTAATGGAGTTAATATTGCATGGAACCCCAGGGCACCCTTAAAAGGATCATCTTTGAAACCCTGGTTGAGAATCACTGGTGTAGACAATATTTTCACCTCTTTTCAATATGTATTTGTCTTCTTTTGCACAAGGACAATCATAGAAAATGAGTTCAAAGACCATTCCATGCCAATATGTATTTGCACAAGTTTGTTTGTTTTTACCAAAAGTGCAGGCATTGCCATGTTTGAAGTCTGATTTTCTTCCCTCTATTTCTTCCCTCCACTTATAGAGCATAAGAAATTGCCTAAGACTTAGGTGACCTGTTCCTATGCTTCAAATAGTAAATAGTCTAGACATAGCCAAATTGAACAGTTCACTCCTGGGTTGAATCATATTTACATGGATAGTCGTATTTATATAGGAAGAATATGTATAGTATTTAAATTCTTTTTGTAGATTATTCACAAATAGAAGGGATAAGTTCACTAAATAGGTCATTTGGTATGACTTGCTCACCTAAATCTAGTACCTGTGATGTCTTGAAGCCTAGCACAGATGATTGTCATTAAGGTAGGGTGACGGCCTTTATGATGTCAGTCATCAAATCATAAAGTACCAGTACTGGTTGCTGTACTACAGATTGGGAGCCACAGTCAAATATGTGAGATAGCTTTGCAAATCAAATGTACAGCTAGCTATTGTAGTGAAATTAAATACTACATCCATGCCCAGAATGAATTCACTGACTCCATCTAAACAAACTCTTATGTATACAGCATGCCACAGGTGTGGGCACATGCGTGCATGTCTCACTGATTATCTTGTGGGGCCTTGCCAGCTACAACATATTAAACACACAGATCAAAAGTACCAACCTTCTCTCAGTTCTCTTCGGTAAATGGGTCACACAATAGCAAAAACACTTTGCATAGACATTTCTACCTAAAATTACACAATTTGAAATCATATGGCAGCCTTTTATTTAGCAAAATTTTAGTGACTTTACTATTACAGTAGCCACACAGGTTGCCTAAAATACCTGTTATAGCTGGAGAAAATAGCAAATATACAGAATATAGATTGGAATTCCAAAAGGTGATTATAAAAGGGGTTGGAAGGGAGGATGTAGATCCTTATATAATGATTGTACTATGCTCTCTATCATCAAGCATCTGATTCATCTCTTCATTGCAGAATAGAAATGTTTTCATACCATTTTTGAAACTGTACACTCAAAGACTCCTTAGGCTCAGGGATGGAGGGTATGACAAAATGCACAAAGGAAAGGATTACAGACTTCTCTCCTAACATCAGCAGCCAACTTAGCGTAACCCAAAGTTTTCCAAGTTTTAATTACAAGCCCACTTTTAATAGACAGCAATTTCCATTGGTCCCTTGTGTGGTCACTGTAGCAAGCTTTTTCTCTGATTACCTTCCCTCTCAGACAAGCTCTGAAGAACTAGCCTACATGGGTCTTTTTTTTAAGGAGCCTTATTATATTTGTCTAGTCTTCTTCCTCTGTGTTATGAACTTTTGCTTGTCCCATAGGCTCAGGAGAAAAAGTAAGCCAAAGTGGAAAAAAACAAGCAAAAAAAAAAAAACAACCTTGGAGAATCAAATCCCACCATTGAACCGGCAAAAGATCCAAAGTTCTTCGCACGCAGAGGAGTCAATGGAGCTGCTGGAATGCAATGCGACTTTCAGAGCAATATCATGTTTTTAATGTAGCATGATGGTCTATGAGATATGTGTAAAGTTTAGAGATGCAGAAGTGATTCCAAGTGATAAACTGAGAGAAGAAAAGAGCAAAATCTAGGCCCAAGTACTACTTATTTTGGAAATAATCCAGAAGGGCTCTGGATAAAAGAAGAGGGAATGAAACACATGGGGGAGATTTGTTTCCATTCAAATTTCTTAACAAATCACAGGCTTAATTAGTGCTCAAGTATATGCACTTAAAAAAAATGTGACTTTGAAATGTTCCCCATGCCCCAAACTGAATTCAGTTCATAGCATGTCTGAGGAATGATCTTTCTCAGTTACTATATTATTTCCTCTTATTTCTCTACACTGAACTTATTTGCAGTCGTTAAACCAACCTGGGCCTGATCCAAAGTCCCTAAAAACCAGGAGACTTTTAATTGAGATAAATGGATTTTGGATCAGCTGTTTCAATGCACAACAAATCCTAAAGAATTTGGACATTGGTTTTCAATAGAGGCAAGGATTAGCATCTCAGAAGTTCAGGCTTTATTCAAACATGACAGGTGAGCAAATTTGTTCTCTTATAAGAGAAAGTGACCTGATACCTGATAAGTATCACGGCAACCTGATAAGCACTAAGTATTCTCATCTTCCATTGAACTTGGCCACAAGTGTCATATTCCAGTTGGCTGAATGCAAATCTATGTGATAGTGTGGGGATCTTTTCAGAGGAATTCTTGCTAATATGAATAGTGGGCACTCAGATTTACTGCTGTAGGTTTGCATTTTCCATTTTCAGACATGACAGGGAAAAACCCTATGAAAACAGTACTTTAGGAATACAAAGCAAAACAAAATAAAAAAAAATAAAAGAAAAAACTAGTTGGAACCATGAAATATAGAGGCAGGTTTAAGTGACAGATGGGGAACAGAGCTATTCCAACTTGCGTGCATGTCAGAAGTCCATTATGAGTTTGGGTCTGAAGCATTATACTCATATTATCTGAACTGTCTTGGCCAATCCCTAACAACCCTATTTTAATATGCACTTATATCCTTTACTACAAAACTACCTAGGAACCCACATTCCTTAAACAGCTTCGACAGCAAAGTGGTTAATGTTTGAAGAATGAGTCATTCTTTCCTTTGCCATGGCATTGGGTTCTTATTGTACAACCCTGTACAGTACTTCAGCAATATATTTTTAAAGATTTAAAAAGCAAAAAGTTACAAAACCATCTGCAATTAACTTGAAATAGAAAAGATAGCACTTTTTTAAAATCCCATTATATAGTACACCGTATAAATTACAGAGTATTCAAATGCACAAACGCATCTGTGTAACATTTATCAAATGTAATTTTTGTGTTTGTGTGTGGGTTTATTTTTTTTCCAGAGTTTTTAGTCACAGTTCTACATGCCTCATCTCCCCTCACTATCACGTATGACAGTGCTCCAATTCTGAGACGTTGCTGTTGCAGTATCTCATGTTGTTGGGGATGTGGCAGTCTGTGTAGTTAATGCCCCCATTTGGGGTATAAATGGGCTGCAGTCTGAAATCTCCTTTAAGGAGTTGATCGTTATTTAAGGAGACAATCTGGAAGCTGGTTTCCGTCATCTCCAGGATGGAGTTGTCCTTCTTGGTCCCCGCCTCGCAGTAATCATCTTTCCGCCGGCCCCGGTTATATTTCCACTTCTGAGAGGTGTAGCGCCCCTTTTTGTGCATATGCCAACAAAAGATGCTGAGCAAGACCACAAGGACAAATATCACTGCCCCCCCAATCAACCCTGCTAGCAGAAATGGAGAGCCCATGTTTTGAGAAGTTGTCTGCTCATGGCTGGAGGCTGTGTTGCTGCCATTATTTAAATAAGAACCCTTGGTTGTGGCTTCTGAACAGACAGTGTCTTCTCCAGCCCAGTAATTATTATAAGCATACAGTGGAACCAAACAAATCCGATAAGTGGATTTGGGCTCCAGATTTACCAGGCTTAAGTGTTGTTTCTCACCACTAACTTTCTGTTCCTGAACAATGCCCCCTACTGGACTGTGACCCATTTTAACCCATGTGAGTTTGTAGGACATGACAGTAAAAAAGGACATCCAGTTAACTTGAATACAAGTGTCATTCACAAAATGAATGAAGAGTTGAATCCGTTCGGAAATGGGAGGTGTCACCCTTTCCTTGTCCTCCCTGGTAGGCACAGTGGGGAGTGTGGAAGGGGCGGGTGTGAGAGGGGTGTGTTTGCTACTCAGGGTTGGAGTTGATGAAGTAGGACCCAGTGTGGTTGGCAAGGTTATACCAGGAGCTGGGGTGACAAGTGGCAGACCAGGAGTGGTGGTTGGGCATGACAACATATTCATATTGAGCTCCCTGACTGCCATACCTCGGACCTGTTCTGGTCCCTGGCACATAAAGCCCCGGACATTGATGGATGAAGGAATAAATTTGAGCCACTCAGTGACCCATTTAATACTGCAGTCACATAACCAGGGATTATTCCTCACAGTAAGTTGCTTCAGGTTGTGGAGGTTATCAAAGACCCCTCTCACCAGCATCCGGAGATAATTGTTAGAAATATCAAGCCGCTCCAACTTGTGTAGGTTTGAAAAGGCTGTAAGTGGTATGTGGTTTATCTGGTTGTCCTGCAGGTAGAGCCTCAGCAGATGTGTACCTGGAAGATCAGGGGGAGGGTAAGTTAGTGAATTCCGTACTATTGAGAATTCCTTGAGATTCGACAGGTGGCTGAAGGTGCCCTCAGCAATGCCTTTATTGGTAAGGAGATTGCCATCCACAATCAGACGTTCCAAGCTTGTAAGATTCTGGAAAGCCAAGTCTGAAATAATGGCAATTCTGTTTTCGTCCACTCGTAGTTCTTGTAAGTCCACTGGAAGGCCTACTGGTACACTGCTTAAATGATTCTTGGACAAAAACAGAAGCTTGAGGCTGATAGCTTCCCGAAATGCCCCATCCTCAACACCTACAGTAGAGATGGAGTTGTCATCCAGATGCAGCTCTTCCAACTTCAAGAGCTGAGCCAGGGCAGCCCGAGAAATAGTCTGAATGTTGTTTTCCTGCAGGTGGAGAACCCTGACATTCTTGGGCAGATTCATGGGGAATTCATCCAATTGGTTGCCATATAGGTAGACCGTGTGCACAGACTGGACATTATGCAACTCTGCAGGGAATCCAGCATTATTAATTTGGTTATTATGGAGGTAGAGTACGGTTACACCCTCCGGTATCCCAAGAGGCACTGAGGTCAAGCTTCGTTCATTACAATAGACAAAGTTTCGGTCACAGCGGCACACTTTTGGACAGGCCAAAGTTTTGGAAACCTGCATGTAGAGCCCCAAGGAAAATATGAGCCATGATTTCAGGAAAACAGCCCAATCTGAGGGCCACATTCTAGTCCATGGGCCCATTTCTAACTTAAAAGAAACAAATTTCCAAAGAAGGAGAAATAACAACAATGCTAAAGCACAGGTAGGAAAAATGTAGGTTGGTGAAATTGGTTTCTATTTGTGTCCAGTGTTCAGGCAAGAGGTAAAGTCTTGGATGCTAAATGCAGAATAATCCTTTTATAATTGGCCTACCTCCTGCTTTTCATAAGAAAGCCACAGTCTTATTAGCCAGGATTACATATTTTGCTGCCTTTCTCCATATGTGTTGAAAGAAGCAAGAGCTGTGCCTTTGCAGGGGAGCAATTGGATATTTAAAGCTACCAAAAGCTGTCTGCATATAAGTCGGTAGGGTAGACCAATATGTCCTTTCTCTGCAGTGAAGGCGTGGTGCACTCAGCTTTCTTCAGTCTACAAGGTCTTCATTTCAGCCTGGTGCAGGATCTAAGAAGCCTGTTAAAAGTAAGAGAAGAAACTGAATAATATGAAACGTTCACCTGCAGAGAACAAGCTTTTGGAAAATCTTCTGTGTACAGGAGGTAGTTATTATGGCATTTTGATAATAGATACAACTATTAAACAATGGATTGCTACTACTACAGAAATATTTTCATCATGGATTTGATCTAGAATCCCTTGAGGTAATGAAGAGACTGATTTCAAGGAAGGTTGAATGGATTCCTTATTTTTATATAAATCTTTTGTCCTACCAAAATCTACTTAAAATATTAAAACTTTTAAGTTTTACTAACAATTGTTAAAACTTTTAAAGTTTACTAGAAATGTTATCATGAGTATTTTCTCCATTTGGGGGAAAAAGGATTATTCTCACACCACTGAATATGATGAAAATTATAACATAGATGTTAGTGGGAAAAGGATGTGGTCTAGATTATTTAATCACATTGCATGTTTTTTCTTTCCACTTAATCCTCTTCTATGAGCTGCTCTGTTTCTGTTACTCCATGCTGCCCTGCACATTCTCTTCTGTTCCATTGCCCAAATCTTAATTATTGTACCTAATATAAATGGATTAGCTGCCTATGGCCTGACATTTCTATTAACACCATTATCAGTGAAATTATTAATAATGATGGTATGTACCATGCAATCATTAAACTTCAGCATTAAAATTCCATAGTAAGGAATAAGGTTGTTTGCTCCTATCACAGCTATGCTTTCAGCGTGTCAGCAAAACAGTAGCATCTGATATTTACAGGTTTGGATTGATTAGCAAATCCCTTAGTCTTAACTTACATGAGGTCTTGAATATACCTTTATTTCCCTTGTTTGTGTCCCTTATTTTTCTTTCTGATATTATTTATTATTCAACTTTATATCTGGTGTGCCTCATGTCCTAGTTGCTGCCCTTGGGAACTCTGTGGATCTGGAGTTTACTCTGCTTAGGAGCCAAGATATTATAGTCTTATGATGGGAACCCTTGTTCTTCTTGTATATTATTATACTTATTTGAAAGCTCATCAGGTATTACCCCAAAGCTCAAACATTTGGAGGTAAAAAACAAGCACTAATGTAGTCTTGTAGTCTATTATTATGCATCCAAATGGTACATTTACCTTATGTCTGTACTGTACGCTGTGCTCCTATAGAAATCAAAAGATTAGCAAATGCACTGCTCAAGGCTTTCCTCTCCAGCAGACCTCTTTCAGTTAAGAGTCATTGCTTTCCAATTATATAAAACGACATGATACCATAGAGAAACTCTAACAGGATTCTAACATTAATTGAAGCATGACAGTTCATCCTCTTTTAATATGGCTGAACTCCCATCTAGATCATATTGTCCTGATTGGTCATGACATTTGTATTTAAAATGACAAAGGGGCTTGCAAGGCCTTCTTCAAGATACTTGGGACCACACAGAATGGCAGCGGCTTCCTTACTCCTACTCTGTGATTAGAAATACCCAGTGTGTCTCAGTAGTATCTAAGGAAAAGAACATACTGTAACATATTGTACTGTCACTATTACTTCAGTTGCTGAAAAGATAAGTCTTAATTCAACGGGCATGCTGGACAGCCCATCTGAGGAAGGGCTGCCAGATAACCACATCTCCTATATGTCCAGCAAGGATACAGTGGGCCCATCTACACTATTTTAATGCACATTAGCCTATGTTAATATTCATTAAAATGTAACAGAAAAGTTCTCCTTAGCTAATGTGCATTACAATAGACTAATACACGTTTCTAGTACCTCACAATGGAGATACTAGATTTAATATTCTTTACCTAAAGTGCATTAATGAGCATATAGATGCATCCTGTGTCACCCTAAATTGGGCTTAACTGGTACCTAGGTCTTGTGCCACTCCTCATCATAGGAATGAATTTCATCCTTATAGAGAAATTAATGAAAAAAAATTGTAATTTTTCCCTAGAAAAGTGGTTCAGCACACCTAATGCTGGTCATTATGTATTAAACTGAGAAGATCTTTGACTGTCCAGTCACTTGAGGCCCAGCACTGCTGCACTCAAGAGAAGCAAGTGCTCTTGGGTTTATCTCTTAATTGTGTTTGTCAGGTTTCACATTTATAACTCTTTTTAAAAGTTTCCTGAAACATGGTTTTTCATCTCATCCTGCTGAGGAAGTGAGTCATTTTATTAATTCCAGGATCCTAAACTCCAGCTAGCAATGCTTAATAAACTGAGACTATAAAACTCAGAATACAGAAAATAGGTATTGTCACTCTGTAACCACTGTTGATTGTATTAGCAGCAGCACAAGGACAAATCTAATCAGACATTTATGACTTCACTGTTAACTATAGTGTGAACGAGTAAAAGGATAACAAGGATGCAAGGAAATCGTTGTTCTGCAATGTATTCTTAACATTATAAAAATAAAGTATACTAATAATAATTTCAATTATTACTCCTTAATGAGTAGTACTTAATGAGGATACTTATTATTAGTAGTAATATTCATATTGTTATTACCCACCATCCAAATACATGAGAGCTGCTCCATATAGGTCCATGTGTATATTTGCTTGCCTTTACCCAAAACAGCGTGATATTTAAATCAGATTTACCCATTAAAGAGGTAGGAACTTTCCTTGCTTAAACATGTTAATACTGCAGGAGATGTAATCAAAGTGCAGTCTAACACTAGGCAATCATGTCCATGATTTTTTGTATCCAGTAGATGCATGAAGTGATCAAAAATCATGGACTAAATATAGACAATGGATTTATGGCAGATTATAACCTGTCTGCCATCTGATACCCCAGGTAACCTCTCTACAATTTACCACCTACACTCCATCACCAGATCACCATTCCCCTTACCACCACCCCCACCTCTCTCATCCATTGTCTCGCACCCCCCCTGACACTCACTGCCATGGATTTGCAATTTCACAGACCCAAATTCTTTCATACTGGATTCCACCCCATCCAGGAGAGCACAATACAACTGCAGATGCTCCCTCTGCCTGAAGAAGGGTGATTGTAATCGAAAGCTTACACAGAAGAATATTTCCAACTATTTTAGTTCATCTAATAAAATATATCATACTTACGCAAGGAACCTTGTCTGCCCATGTCCTTATGCCAACATAGCTACAGCCAACACCCTCAAAAGCTGGAACGTACAAAAAATTGGCTGACTATCTGCAAGAGAACTGCTCGCTTTTGGGTTTAGCATGCTGGGAGGGAAGAAAATCCTGACACAGTATTATTAGCTCCTGTGATGTTATTTAAATGCAAGTTGTGATCTGAGTGAGGGCTGTGGCAGAGGGGAATGGGTTAGATTTATGAATTACAAATGCCAATGGTTTGCAAGACCCAGTCATTGGATTTGAAGCTATGAGCCTCTGACAGGAAGACGAGCAGGTTGAATTGTGGAAGGGAAAGAAAATCTATTGTATTTATCTTAAAAGAGAATGATCAACAAAAATATACCTCACACATAATACATGTGCCCATAATCAGTTAGATTAGTGTTTCTCAACTTGTGGGTTGTTCTCCCTCCTCCCTCCAGCCTGTGCCAGGCCAGAATCACTTTGCTACCACCCACATGAGATGGAGCTGCCTCAGCCTGCGCTCTGCCTCAAGTGGGACAGGGGCAGCTGGGGGAGTGGGGGGAGGCAGGGGGCTATGGATCAGGAGTGAGGGGC